TGTTAAGGTGTTGTACTTCAGAGCTAAAAATTTTTGTCTTCAGCACTGTCGAAGTGAGATTTTGAGGCTATTAGTTTACAGTCAGATTTCAGGTTTTCAAACAGATTCAGAGGCTTTACATTTAATGTAGCCTAATGTGTTTATCTAATGTGTTCAAAGTCCAAATACAAGAGGTGCTCTCACTCCACCAAAATAAGGCATAACACTTTTGTGCTGGGACCGGAAATCAATACTAAAAATAATACCAGCATACAAATTCTTTATAACCTGTAGTCAAATTGTGTATAATCTATTGAGATAGTTTATGTCATAAATTTTCATGTCAACTAAACAAATTCCAACAAAATGGGGTTGACAAAGTTGATGCCATTTGAACTGAGCAGTGAGTTGATAATACTTTGAGAGAGAGAGTTGGTTGATTAGTTTAGGGTAAATAAACCTATCAGAGCTTCCACTTTCAATAAGAATCCCCAAATCTTACTTAAATCTCCACCTGGGAGGCTTTAAAATGATCCCGCTAGCACGAAAATCAAAAAAATGAGGTACTTTTTTATATAAAAGAAAATTTGCAGTATATTATTAGGCCTGACATGAGTAACTCTGATGACAATAGCGAAGTCTTAACAATAGAGATTAAAACCAGTAACTCTAAAAATATACTTTTGAGTTGCTGTTATGGACCGCCATCTGGCATAATAGAAAATTTCAATACATTCTTATTTAATAATATTTTAAAAAAAGGTTTAAAGGAAAAAAAATTAATTATTTAATTGGAGACATAAATCTAAATTGTTTTGAATATCAAACTAATAACAAAATAAAAACATTTTAAGACGGTTTATTTCAGAACGGCGCTATTCCATTAATAAACAGACCAACAAGAGTAGTAGAAACATCAGCTTCTGTAATAGATAACATAATAAGAACTGATATCTTTAACAATTCGCTTAAAATAGGTATAATAAAAAATGACGCGTCTCATCATTTTCCTATTTTCTTTTCTCTAAATCTTGTTACCGAAATAATACAAAAACAAATTTTCATCAAACGCTTTTTCAATGAATCAAATATCAAATCATTTAACGATCAACTATCTCTACTTAGCTGGAAAAATATCGACTCTACATTAGAAGCAAACGTAGTCTATAACACATTCTACGAAACATTTTATGATATCTATGACGTAAGTTTCCAGAAAATCAAAATAATTAAATCAAATAAAAGCCTTAAATCACCTAGGATCAATAAAGACCTCAGAAAGTCCTCAAAAATTAAGCAAAAACTTTATATAAAATACTTAAAAACCAAAACAATTGAAAACAAAACAATATACAAAAATTATACTAAACAATTTGAAAATAATTAAAAAAATGCAAAAAAAAATACTATTTCAATTTGCAAGAGAAACAAAAACTCAATTCAAAACGAACTTGGCAAATTATAAGTGAAATCACGGGCAAACAAAACTTAAAATTGTGTTCTCTACCTAAAGCTTTTAAAATTAATGATAAAATAATAGATGATCCTAAAGAAATAGCAAATGAACTAAATAAATTCTTTGTTTCTGTTGGACCTAATCTTTCAAAAAACTTTCCAAATATGATAAATCCAATCAATAATTATAATTTTCCTCTAACCTCTTGTCTAAGTGCCTTTGAACTATCATTTTCAGAATTTTAAAATGCTTTTAAAATGCTTAAGCCCAATAAAGCAATTGGCCCATATGATTTAAATGGAAACATTGTTATTAAGTCATACGATAGTATAAAGAATACTCTATTTAAAGTTCTTAATTGTTTAATAAGTCAAGGAATTTTTTCCGGCCTAAATGAAGGTTGCAAAAGTAACCCCTATATATAAAGGTGGTGAACTAACAAATGTTGGGAATTATCGTCCAATATCGGTTTTGTCAGTTTTTTCCAAAATTCTTGAAAGAATTTTATTTGATCGAATTTTTAACCATCTCTCTGAAAATAATATACTTTACAACAATCAGTACGGTTTCAAAAAAAATAACTCTACAGAACACGCAGTGCTTCAACTCACAAGAATTATTACTGACTCCTTCGAAAAATCACAATTTACTTTAGGTATTTTTATAGACCTATCGATACTATTGATCACGGCATTCTATTATATAAATTACAACATTACGGTATCACTGTTAAAGTCTTAATGTTATTAAAAAGTTATTTAAATAATAGTAAACGTTTCATGCATATTGATACAGACTCAACAACTACTGCTTTAGATATATCCTTTGGATTCCCCCAGGGTTCCATACTTGGACCACTGTTATTTCTAATTTATATTAATGACCTTTATAAAACTTTTAATTTAATGACAATAATGTATGTGGACGATACTAATCTTTTCTTATCTCGAAATGACATCAATAACTTATTTAATGACATGAACGTAGAATTAAAGAAAATATCTGACTGGTTTAAATCAAATAAGCTTTCACTTAATATTCAAAAAACTAAGTGGATTCTTTTTCATTCAGCTTATTAAAAGCATATACTACCAAGTGAAATGCCGCCGCTTTTTATTGATAAAATTAATATAAAAAGAGTAACTTATACTAAATTTTTAAGGCATAATTGTGGACGAAAATCTTTCATTGAAAAACCACATTGGAAATCTAAATAATAAAATTGCAAAAAGTATTGGGATTCTATATAAAACAAGAAGCATTTTAAATAAACATACTTTAATTCAACTATATTACTCATTAATTCATTGCCATATTAACTATATTAATACTGCCTGGGGTAGTACCAACAAAATTAAGTTAAAGCCTTTGCTTTGTCAACAGAAGCATGTAGCACTTCTTATTAATTTTAAAGATCGTTTTACTCATGCCAGGCCTTTATTATTAAACATAAATATTCTTAATATTTACGAAGCAAATATATTTAACGTTCTTTGTTTTATGTTTAAATGCAAAATTAATACTTGTCCTGTTTCTTTTCATAAGTTATATTCAATGAAAGAAAAAAATAAATATATATTAAGAAATAATAAATATATACAACAACCAATTTTTCAATCAAATATATGCAAATTTTGCATTCAATACCGTGGAGCCTTTTTATGGAACCAAATAGTTTTAAAACGTTTTGATTTTTTGCATAATTGAAATTATTTTCCTTTTAAAAGAAAACTAAAAGAAGTAATTTTTTCAAATGATAACATCTTTTTTATATTTTTAAATTATTACCTATTCCAAAAAATAATTAAGGAATTGCAATCTGAACGACAGTATTTTTTAGATAACATATTATATATTATATATTGACATTACATATATACTGATGAAAACTGATGTAATTTTTCGAGTTTTTGTTTGCTTTTTTTGTTTGTTTGTTTGTTTTTGCATAATATTAAATATTGAGAAATATTAATCATATATTCACATATATTATAAAATATTGTTAAAACTTACTTAGCATCTAAAGAGTACTATAATATATAAACGCATTTAAATGTTGTTTTAAATATTTGTAAATTTATGTATTTTGACTCTTAATATAAATTGTAAAAGGCTTCATGATAAGATTGTGTGATCTTTTGGAAGTCCTACCAGTAATATATTCAATGTAAATTTACCTTGTACATATTATTCTAAAAAAAAAAAAATAAGTAAATAAATAATAAAAGAAAAAAGAGCATTTATTGAATGTTTATTGATTGTGATATTAAAATTAGACTTTTGAAAAATTGGATTAATACTACTAGTAGTAGTTGCTAATTTTGGTTTTAAGATAGATGCAGCTGTTGAGTTGTTGTTATTTTGCTTTGAAAGATATTACACTATTTTCGTCAAACATAGCCTCTAATATTTTGCCTCTATTTTTGAGAAGTCGTAGTTGAATTTCATTATAAGTTATATATAACACTGATAAAGGAGTATGTCAATGTTTTCTTGAGGTAACACATCTAAAAAATATTTAAAAATTTTAAACTATTTTAAAGTTAAATAAAACTTTTTTACAGAATATTTTAAAGTTTTATTTTGTAAAATAATAAAGTATTATAAAGTATATATATATATATATATATATGTATATATATATATATATATATATATATTTATATATATATATATATATATATATATATATATATATATATATATATATATATATATATATATATATATATATATATATATATATATATATATATATATATATATATATATATATATATAGTTGAGATAACTATTATCAAATATTATTGCAAGAAAAAGGTTTGCTGAAGTTATGCAATATTATTATTATTATGATCTCCTTTTTATTTTCACAACAATATACAAACTTAGCAAAAATAAACAGTTACAAATTAATTTTATTCAACGCCAACTGAAGATATATATTAAAAAAATATATTAGAAAAAACTATTTACGCAATTTTGTAGAACTTATTAGAAGCTTATTATTTATTATACTTATTAGAACTTATTAGAAGCTAAATTATTTAAAACGCGAATGAAAAAGGGTTAATTTATTACGATGGGGGTTAGAAATATTGAAGCCCCCGGTTAATCCATTTCGCCATATTTTAAAATAATTTAACTCCCAGGGTTACTTTATTTCGGAATAGATTAACCGGGGAGTTATAATGTTTTAACCGGAAGTTATCTTTTCGGGAAATTAATTTATTTCGTGTCACCGAAAATATCAAGAAGATTTAATAGTATAATAATCAAATAATAATTTAATAAGATATTTAATAAGATTTAATAAAATCAAATAATAATTTAATATAATTTTAATAAGATCAAATAATAATTTAAAAAGATATTTGAAAAGTTTTCAGATACTTAACAGTGTTTAATAATAAAAACTTGAGTAAACTGGTAAATAATAAACAGTATAAACAAACTAATTAAATACAAGTTGAAGTAAATTAAGATATGTATGCAAAACCAAAAGTATCAAAACAAATATTTTTGTTAGAAATAAAATTTCATATATAGTAAAGGTTCGATTTTCTCATTTCTCTTCTATGCATACGCGATGACGAAACAAAATGCCTTCCTGATTATTGACAAAATAGGATCCCAGGGACGAATGATTGGCATGTTCTCCAGGTATCACTACAACCCAATTGTCAGAGCACTCTATAGTATAAAAATCAGCAAATTCAATATATTCTTTTGCTATTTGCAAAACACAGCAAATAATCCATGTTCCTTGAAACAATAATATATATTTAACTTTTCCAAATAGGGGCAAGTCATTGCTAGCTTTTTTCTGACAAATAGTAGACGTTGTTGTATAAAAAACCTGTCCATTAATTCTAAGTTTAGTAGTGGATATAAACTGCTCAGCTCTATTTATTTGATGGGTGTTACCAAACCTATTTTTAATAGCATCTACAAGTTCAAATGGAATTGAACTTATAGATAAAATTTTCTGACTACCTAAAATTTCTGGACCCTTAACATATGGGCTTCTTCCGAAATTTGTAACACACTTACGCATTTCATGTCGTTGTGTCAAAGTGAATGTTATATTTTTAAAATTTTTTACACAGCGTGCAATCTGTTTAAAATATTGATGTTTAGACTCAAATCTCATTACCCAGAGGTGTTGCAGAGGTCCAAAATGTAATAGTAATCTAGGATAATGTACTAAATAATGGATTTTAGGTATAAATGAAACAGGACTAATGCATTCAAGTAGAGAATGGTGTCTTTGAATGAGATGCTCAAGAATAGGTATCCAATTTATATCAATTTCTGGAGCCAAAATGATTTGTACTATCTGTCGACAAAGCAAATGAAGCTGCCAAAAATTATTATTTAGGAGTATATCAGGATTTTTTACTAGGCAACTGACAAAAACTGGCAAAAAATAAAATAGCAACCATCTCTCTACTGCTTTTCCATGGATTCTTTTATTGGTTGTTCCCAAATTATTTGGAATACATGATACAGCAGGTTTATCACAACTATCTGGAATGCTATACTTGAATTTTGCTATTTCTTCTTTAATTGAACAATAGTGAATAGTTTTTCTTTGATAAGATTTCTTACAACAATTGAAAAATTAACACTCAAAAGTCCTTCAAGTCCATCATGCATAAAATCAGGTGGGAAACATTCAATTGCATTGAAATATTGTAAACTAGATAAAGAACAACGAGAAAGAACACCATATACAAGTGACTTATCAGTCTTCACTTGTTGAACATGATATTTATGTAAATCTATTGTTCGCAACTGACACGAAGATTCTGAATGAACATCTGAAATAAACCTAAACGAAACCATGCAGTGGCGACAAATTCTGCTAGATGAAAAGCAAGTAGAAAAACCACCAAAAGAATGAGAGGATAAGTTATCACCAGAGAATGTAACAATAGAACCATTTACATGTTCAATACTGCCATCAATATTTAAATCAAGTCCATATATTTCAAGCAATTTCACATCATGCATAAGTTTATTTAGAACTTTATCATATCCAAACCTTTTGACAGCACTGTATTGGGCAACTAATACTAAATGAATGTGATCGAGATTTGTCCATAAATGAGTGTCAACATTCCCAACTATAAAATAAAAAATTGAAATCTTGTGAGTACCCCGTCTGCTTCCTAGTGCATTACATATTTCTAGCTCATCATTATACAAATGTAAACGTATAAATTTATTGTTATTAACATTTAATGATTTAAAATGTGTGCCATCAGAGTAATCTCGTATAATGCCATCATTTTCAACTGGTTTTAGACGATTTCGTTCACAGCTCGCCCATATATCATCTTTTTGAAGATAGTTTTTTAAAGTTTGAAGAATTGAAATATAATAACCGATTTTTTTTTTTTTTAGATTTTTTTTATCATGTTTTTTTGCAAAAATATTATTACCTGTGTTTGTTATAAGAGGTGGCGACAATATTTCACTGCTTATTTCATTGTTAGAACCATCAACACTTTCATTAAACTGGTGAAGTTCATTAGCTGGCATGTCAAGTTCTTTTGGTGGAACAAATTCAAGGTTATTTAGCATATATAACATTTTAAGATGATCTGTTGCAAATAATTGGGACACTCTGTCATAAATTGAGGAAAATTTTAATATTTGGTTCAACACAGAATCGTCATCTGATTCAATATTTAGTACCTTAAGCCTTTGTCTTATTAATGATACAAAACTATTTTGAAACAAATCAAGTAAATATTTAACCATATCACATATATCAGAAGCTGCTGAAAGAGGTAACATGTGTTTTTCGCGCAATTGTAGCTGTGCTATACATACATTATTTCCAAAACATTTTAAAAAATCAGAAAACTCTGTATTAAGTTTATTGGCATTTTCATCCACACTCTCAATAATGGTTATGTTCTCTGTTTCCTTTTCCACGATATTTTCTTCTCTATCACTTTCTTCTGTATGTTCACATGTAATTTCAGATAGATCAGTCAGTTTATCGGAAATTATGGAAACAAGATGAGACGCATGAAATTTGAAAAGATGACACCTAAAGGTATTAACAGTGTTATAACGATAACCACAACTATCTAAACTACACGACAAACTCAGTTGTTTTTCATGACTATGATGCAACATCATATGATTGATTAATCCTCGTGCATTGTAAAACCCTTTTCTACAGAACTCGACTTGACAATAATAGTCCAT